ACAATAGGCTAATGTAATAAAAAAATTATTAGCATTTATGGAATATCATTATAACGGTTGACCACAAGGTGGCGCTGCCCCGATACTTTTTTGAGTACTGTTAAGGCATGATGTCGATACGCCAATGATTTCGAAAAATGACGCATTTTACGTCAAAATTCAAAATGTCCGACTCGCAAATTGCCCGATATGGGAAAATTGGGTATCGTTCGACTCGACATGCTGCACCGAATGTGTGATTTTTGGCCCAACCGTTCAGAAGTTATAAGCAAAAATAGCCATTTTTCATATCTCCTGACCACTAGGTGACACTGTCCAGAAACTGTGCAGGTAACCTCAGGTCAGGGTTGTCATAACACTCACCAAGTTTGGTCATAATTTGCTAAAGCGTTGAGGAGATATATATTCGCGTCCATTTTGGCACGCACTTGGTAGATTCGTTTGCGCATTATTTGAGAATGGATCGATAATCAACTTGAAATCCATAACTTTTTGCCGGCATGGTCTAAAGATGATCTCATTACATTTTTGTGAAAAGTTAAAAGTTTTAAAAAAAGTTTGTAAAGTTTTTAAAAAGTAGGTTTTTCGGAAAATTCTAAATGGTGAAAAAATGTTCATGACAGAAAATTACATCATATGTACAGTTGGTGGCGCTAGAGGGATTGATTTAGAGACACCACCTGTACTAACGTACCTTCGCTTAGTTTAAGTTGAAGTACTTAAATAGCTATTACTAAATAAACTAAAACTAATAAATGAAAATGAATAAATTCTATATAGACATATTTAATATATATATATATATATATATATATATATACACTCACCGGCCACTTTATTAGGTACACCTGTCCAACTGCTCGTTAACACTTAATTTCTAAGCAGCCAATCACATGGCGGCAACTCAGTGCATTTAGGCATGTAGACATGGTCAAGACAATCTCCTGCAGTTCAAACCGAGCATCAGTATGGGGAAGAAAGTTGATTTGAGTGACTTTGAACGTGGCATGATTGTTGGTGCTAGAAGGGCTGGTCTGAGTATTTCAGAAACTGCTAATCTACTGGGATTTTCACGCACAACCATCTCTAGGGTTTACAGAGAATGGTCCGAAAAAGAAAAAACATCCAGTGAGCGGCAGTTCTGTGGGCGGAAATGCCTTGTTGATGCCAGAGGTCAGAGGAGAATGGCCAGACTGGTTCGAGCTGATAGAAGGGCAACAGTGACTGAAATAACCACTCGTTACAACCGAGGTATGCAGCAAAGCATTTGTGAAGCCACAACACGCACAACCTTGAGGCGGATGGGCTACAACAGCAGAAGACTCCACCGGGTACCACTCATCTCCACTACAAATAGGAAAAAGAGGCTACAATTTGCAAGAGCTCACCAAAATTGAACAGTTGAAGACTGGAAAAATGTTGCCTGGTCTGATGAGTCTCGATTTCTGTTGAGACATTCAGATGTTAGAGTCAGAATTTGGCGTAAACACAATGAGATCATGGAACCATCATGCCTTGTTACCACTGTGCAGGCTAGTGGTGGTGGTGGTGGTGTAATGGTGTGGGGGATGTTTTCCTGGCACACTTTAGGCCCCTTAGTGCCAATTGGGCATCGTTTAAATGCCACGGCCTACCTGAGCATTGTTTCTGACCATGTCCATCCCTTTATGGCCACCATGTACCCATCCTCTGATGGCTACTTCCACCATGTCACAAAGCTCTAATCATTTCAAATTGGTTTCTTGAACATGACAATGAGTTCACTGTACTAAAATGGCCTCCACAGTCACCAGATCTCAACCCAATAGAGCATCTTTGGGATGTGGTGGAACGGGAGATTCGCATCATGGATGTGCAGCCGACAAATCTGCGGCAACTGTGTGATGCCATCATGTCAATATGGACCAAACTCCCTGAGGAATGCTTCCAGCACCTTGTTGAATCTATGCCACGAAGAATTGAGGCAGTTCTGAAGGCAAAAGGGGGTCCAACCCGTTACTAGCATGGGGTACCTAATAAAGTGGCCGGTGAGTGTATATATATATAAGAAAAATGACAAACATATTTTGAAAGAGGTTTATTATGCTCACCAAGTCTGCATTTATTTATACAGTAAAAACAGGAATATTGTGAAAAAACTGCTCAAGAAACATTTCTGATTATTATCAATGTTGAAAACAGTATTGCTGCTTCAGATTTTTGTGGAAACTGATACATTTTATTTTCTATAATTCTTTGATTAATAGAAAATTCCAAAAAAACAGTATTTATTTGAAATAGAAATCTTTTGTTACATTATAAATTACTTTTGATCAATTCAATGTGTTCGTGCTGTGAATGCAAGTATTAATTTCTTTTTAAAAAATTGACTGACCCCAAACTTTTAACTGTGTGTTTTACGTCATGTTTTTTTAACCAAGTCTTTGCCTTTAAGATGATCCACATGTTTAAATATTGCCTTTTAGATGCTTAGCTAATGTGCTTTCATATTTTGAAAGACAACTTTGAACCGTCACTTTAACCACAGCAGAAGTGTTTTTTGCATCAGATTTTTATCCGATGTAATGCCATGTTGATTTGATATCGAATGCATTTACATATCCTTAATTTCCTCTGAGCCCAGAATGAATTTTCCTTGCTAAGGATAAGATTGACCTGATTAGTCTGAGTGATGGCTTTGAATGAACATATTAACATAAATGCGCGACACACACACATACACACACTGATCTGACCGGAGGTCTGTGTGAGGCAGTCAGAGGCGCTATAGTGGAGCATGTGAAATTGAATTGGACTCAAGAATGGGGGCTTTGATTGGTTGTCAGCTTATCAGATGCTGAGGTGCTTCTGGACTGAAAAAGGATCTGTCTCTATATAAGATGTTTGAAATCTAAACCCCGATACCAGCACGATATCCATGAGATCAAGACAAATCCGCTCCTGGCTTCACAGATGAGAAACAGAGCCATGCAGAGAACATGAAATTGAGAATTGAGAGTTAACAGGACTCACGTTTGGAAATTGAAAATGAACTGCATCATTACACATTACACATTTAATATAAAGGTCAGTAAACAGACCTGAGCTAACATAGTCCCTCGAGAAAAACGCGATTATGCGATCACATGATTCAGTGCATGATCAGCCAATGTCCGCATATTTTTTTAAATACGCCGCACTTTCGCCGCATAAATTACCGATTTCCGTGCAAAATAGTGGCGCTTGCATGATTTCATAATCCTCGCATTTTCGTTGCAAAAAAGTCACATATATCTGAGCAGAAAGATGAAAAATGCTGCGTTTGCTTCACACGAGAGCCGCCGTTTCCCCCTGTTGCCATGGGAACGTTATGAAGTGACGTCATTACGCGACGTGAACATCATCGAAAAGCTGTAAAACAGGAGCACACTTTGTTTTTCAATATTTTATTTATTCATTTTTACAGAAGTTGTAGCATATTCCTTTTGTAAAGCTACAGAACTTGTTTGACTCATCAATGTTTTCTAAGTTTGATGTATTTATTAAGATGAGAACTGAAATATTCCAGCACTTTCTGTGATGTACGCTTGCTTATCATAGAAAGTCATAAGAAATGACTCTTTATATTAAGGTAGGAGCCTAGTGAGAACAGGGTGTTGGGGAATCACTTTTTTTTTCTCTTTTTCATCAAACCGCAGTTTTTGCAAGTTCCCGCAATTTCATCACATAAAATTGCATAAATATCCTGCATATTCCATCACATTTTTAAAGAAAACGGGACGCGTAATCAAGGATTTTTGCCCGCAACAATCTAAAAAAAAACTCTGTTTTTCTGGAAGGACTGACAGTGTATTTTTATTAACTGAAGTATTTTACAATGGCTTCGAATTCATCTCAGCCAATCATAATCAAGCATATTTTTATTTAAGGCCACATTTATATTTAAAGGGAAAGAATATCATTTACTCGCTCTCATATCATTGCAAATCTATATGGAAGATATTTTGAAGAACATTGGGATCTGAACAACATTGGACCCCACCGACTTTGATTATATGGAACAAAAATAGTTCATATATTTGCTATTGCTTTTTATAGAAAAACTGTATATGCAGGGTTCCCGCGGGGTCTTAAAAAGCCTTAAAAGCATTGAATTTATATAATTTGGAAATAATACCTTAAAAAGACTTTAAAAAGTTTTGAATTTTGATGTCTGGGTCTTAAAAATTGTGCTGTATGACGTAACTTCTCCGTATTGTATTTTTCCTCAAAAGTTTCATTTGTCAAGCACGATTATTATGATTTTCGATGTTTATTGTTCAGGGGTCTCTCAGTTCCCCATATTCCCAGCATGGAATAAGTAGCAAGCTAATGTTAAAAAAAAAAAACTTAACATTTTTCGGCACTTTCTTGTGGCCTACTGAAATGTTTTTATTTTTTCACACCTGCTTGGCTTATCATCTTTTACCCATTCCACATTTGAAAAATAAATGAGCACAAGTTCAAGGATTTTGTTTTTCTTTGCTGGTAGGGACGTGAAATAGGTATTCATTTTTTATATAAATGGTCTTAAAAAGACGTATTATTTCAATTTAACTTCAAGAAACCTGTAGGAACCCTGTATATGATGCCAGAATTCTTATTTTTGGGTGAACTTTCCCTTTAATGGCTATTTGCTCTTTTAAAAATATAGGGAGTACCTTCAGTACGGGCTGCAGATTCATTTCTAAGCCGCAGTGACCCAAGACTAGACAGTTACTGTGGACACTGTTCTGTTTTATATCTCACTTAGTGAAGAACAAATGGCTTTGGGTGAAAGTTTGGCAGATTAAAAGCATCCTCTGCATTGGGTTGAATCTCACACACCGCTTTCAAAGGACATTTGAAGACTATAAATGGAAAGCATGTAATTTTCATCTCCTGTTTAAATTCTATCCTGATCATCAGCGCTCTTCATAACACCCTTAGCTTGCTGTTTGAAAGACTTGAGAGTGACCAGGTGTGTGTGTCCTGTTTTTCAGAGGGTTTGGCTGTTGGCGTGGGCTTTGGGGCCGTCGGAAAAACTCCATCAGCGACGTTTGAAAGCGCCAGGTAAGCCATAAACACCGTTTAAAGGAAAGTTCACCAAACTTTTACTCTCCCCATATCATTCCAACACATGTTATTGTCTTCCGTGATGCACAAGAGATGTTTGGCAGAATGTCACAGCTTCTGTTGTGAAAAGCATAATAAAAGTTGGCCATTCAAAAATGTTGGTAACGATCCATTTGTTAACATTTATTAGTTAACATAAACTAACAACTCTTTAAAAATAAATATGATCAATAAGTCATGACAACACGTTTTTCCATTGCTTCAACTCATCAAAATAATTTAACCAATTTCAACTTCATACTCTAAAAAATGCTGGGTTGTTTTAACCCAATTTTGGGTCAAATATGGACAAACCCAGGCATTGTGTTACATTTTTAAATTACATTTTTAACCCAATGTTTGAGTTTGTCCATATTTGACCCAAAATTGGGTTAAAACAACCCAGCTTTTTTTAGAGTGAGAAAATGAGTTGAAATGACTTGAACAGCCAATTTGAGTATACAAAAAGATTTAAGGCATTACAGTAATAATTGGAATTACAATAATTTAAGTTGAATTACAGTGAATAGAAAATTTGGTAACACTATATATTAGCCTTTATATTTAATGCATCATAAAAGTATTTTTTAATGCATTCATTTGTAATGCACCTTATAAGGTGTCTCATGAATAATTGTAACCACAGTTAAAATGCATTATAATACTGATCTATTTATTGAACGTTTCTTTAGAAATGCATTAAAACACATGACAAACAACCAATCTCAGATGTAGATGCTAAATTCACTGTAAACCACGGTTTTACAGGGCTTATATTATGCTTTTATAAAATAGTCAGTCCCTTAAAATATTTATTTTAATATTTATCACAGGTATATGTTTGTAGGCGTCGAAAGCACGGCTCAACCAATCAGAATCAAGGACCGGAAGATTTTCAGTCAATAATGGCCTACAAGTCATAACTTTATGATACTTTTGTGGTGCTTCTTGAGCTTTGCAGTATAAATAACCATGCTTTTGATGTTTACGGCTAATAGAAAATATATGATGAGGCCAGAAGTACATTGGACTGAATGTAGACAAATGGTAATAGTAAAAGATAGTGGCTGCTAATGCTTCAGGTCACAATAACAGAGGATCTGGACTGAGAACACATGTTTTATCACTTTGCATGAATATCTAACATCCTTTGCTATATTGAAAGCATTGATTTGAATGGCTAATAACTCAAAAACTGCCCTCAAATGAGATAACAACTAAAGAATTGAAAGCTCGGTCACACTGTAAAAAATGACATGATCCATAATGACATGATCCATACAGTAGTGAGCAAAAGTGATGTCTGGCCATCAAACATTAATTGAAATATTATTGTGCTTGGAATCATTTGTTTTATTTGTGATAACGCAATGAAACACGGCAAATTATGCGACATAATTTTTGTCCAGGCTGTCATACAAGGACATGATGAACACATGCTGGGAAAAAAAACGAGAGAACCAATGAAAACTAGCTGATAATTTATGCTTTTTCCTGTCAGCTTTTTTGTTTTCTTTGCATATATAAACCTGTAGCTTTAGTTTGCCTTTTTTCCCAAGTAATTTTGATTTTGTCAGACAAATACCTTAACTAAGTTTAGTGTTTTGTTCTTCTCTCATATTTAACACATTTAAAAAATATTAAATATTTTCCTCATATTTTGATGGTTTAATCAAAACTTGTAGGTTCATCGCTTTTTTACATTACTTTAACTCACCATTAAAAATAAGCGATTTCAACTTTTTTATAAAAGTTAAACGTGATTCAACTCGATTTTTTACATCAGTTTAATATGATTTAAGTTGAAATGACTTGTTCAGCCAAGGCCAAAATTGAAAGTTGAAATGGGTTCTAGATTTTTTGCAGTCATGAACAGTTTCTGCTTCATTGTTCTCTGTCAAGAAAGAAACTAATATGGGGCCAGAAGGACATGACGATGAGTTGATTCATTGTGGGGTGAATTATTTATTTAAAAGGGCAGATGCAGAGTGATGTTCTGCGGTTTAGTGTGACTGGATGGTTCTTGAATTTTGCCGACAGTATTGTGTGATGCTGTCACCAAGTGGTCGAAACTGGTATTGTGAGATCTCTGTGTCTCTCCCAAACACACACACACACACACACACACACACACACAAAGAACGTGCTGTTGTGATATTTCTTGCACACATGTTAATATCCATGTTCTCGAGTCTGTTTAAACGTGAGAATCCTGCCAGACAGGGAGGGAGCGCGAAGGAAACCGGCTAACAAGTGTTCCCATCTCACTCCCAGATGGAGTCTATTAGCCATCGCTGAGAATCAGAGCCGCATTGTAAGCGTTCAAGCACCTGGACTCCACTATGTGTGCGCACATTTGTGCCCAGATGTGAGCCAAAGCTCGCAGATGTTGAATGTGTGTCTTTTACTCTGCATTTCTGTCTGTGTGTGCCTTTAATACCATGTATTTCCATATAGGAAAAGCTGTTTTGGATTAGCGTTGCAATCATATAATCTCTTTACATCCATACTGACAACTCAGGGTTTCCTACTATGCGCTTTCTAGATGAAACCTCTATTTGCTCCTGATTAAAAGCGCAGAGAGAAGGAGAGACAGATGGATGAATGGATACATAGTTTGTTCAACGAGTAAACACAGAGCAGCTTTGAACGTATGATACGGCATAAGAAAGAGGTCTTTGTCTCAGCCTAAAAACAATCGCTCGAGGGCAAACGGAGAGGAGAGCCAAAGTCCCTTTAAGGCAAGTCATTCAACACATCTTATTCCGCCATATTGCTCCCATTCATAGGAATATGAGTGCACCGCCTGTGTACATCTCAAGGTTTTGGTAGAGCTCATGTCAAGTTCATTTTATGTGTTTAGCGCTTTTCACATTGCACATTATTTCAATGCAGCTTTACATAAAATCATGATGTTATTGTTTATAATATCTCACTATTTCCATAGTTGCATTTAGCAGGTGAGAATATAGTTACATTTGGCAACAACAACAAAAAATCAAGCAGGTCATATTTATTTACCATACTGTATGCCTATATATTGCGTTATACGAGAATACTGCATGTATTTTTAATTTTTTTTTTACCAGGAAGTCTCATTGAGATCAAAAATCTCTTTTACAAGAGAGACCTGGCCAAGGTAGCGGACACATAAACACATAAAAATGCTGTAGATACATACAATCATGCAAAAAAAGATACAAATAAAACATACAATCATGCAAATGTATGCGGATAAAGTTGGATGTACTGTATATCCAACTTGAAATATATCGGAAATCTATTCTACTCTATTGCACCCTTGAAATGGGTGACTTTAAAAGATGTTTTTTTCCCTCTCAAACAGAAATGTTTAAATTTGTTTTATTGCTTTATTATCTTTATTTATTTATTTATTTATTTATTTAATCAGGGACCGTACACATTAATAGTACATATCAATATGTAAAATGCGCCAGATTTAGCCAACACTGGCTAAAATGAGTTCTATGGAGGGGAGATTTTAAATTGAGTTTTTAATCAAAACATACTGTTAATGGAAATATGATAAATATTTTTTTATTGTTAATAATGCTTAATCAGTGCATTTGAAAAAGAAACATTTACAGTCAGCATTAAACGGACGTTGCGCTGATCTTTTCTTCTCTATTGTGACGTATATTTAGAAGAGACGTAAATGTAGAAGAGAACAAAACTAAATAAAAATAAAAACAGAACAAAATCTCATCAGAGAAGAGAAGTTATTCTGATTCAAGATTACAGGAACATACATTTAAAACAATAATGATGATGTGCATGGATAAATCATTTAGAATAAATGCTGCAAAATAAAGAAACGATTTCTTCCAGCTTCATATTTTGATTCTTCCATCATCTCTCCACTCCACTGGAGAAAGTGCTGGTGGTTTTGGTTTTGTGTTCATCGTGTATTTATGTCTTTTCCACGACACAAACCTTGTTGGTTTTGTGAAGCTGCACCAGAATATCCCCACAAGACTTTCGTTATTAAGTGAAAAAGAAAGAAAGAAATGTGAAATTCCCCAACACACAACCAGTTTATTCTGAAAATAAAATTAAAACATTAGTTTAGAAATTATGACTTTTGAGGGGCTTTTCCCAGGGTCAGCATTACTCTGCTCTAGTTATATACTCTATTGTTTTATACTGTACTGTACACTCCTTCTTTCTGTCCTTTCTGGCTAAATATACAATGTAATCAACACTTGCATGACTTTAAAGTCCTTCAATATGCTGTTTTGAGGAACCAGGAGAATCCCAGATCTCTTTTAAAGGATTTCTGGGAAGTGGAACAGTTTACATTATTGTCATTAGTCTCTGGTAATTAATGTGGGATGGCTGAGATCCACGGGGATCTACAGGGAAGCCACATTGGATCATGTTTTCCATTCAGTAAAGAACTAAAACCTTCCAAGTGTTTGGTCTTCACATGAAAAACCCTCAACAACCGGTTAATAGTGGACGTTATAGACCTGTTCAGTCAGTGGTGATTCTTGCATGTTGGTAAAATCAGACGTTAGTCATTCAAGAATCTCTTTTTGGATTGTGTTAATTGTATGTTATTAGGACACTGAAAACCACTAACTTTATTAACTTGACCTTTATGCTGAAAAGGTTAATCCTCCCGCGTTATATTTGTGTGATTTTTCTGTGGCAACAAATTGCCTTTTCCAGACATACACAACCTAAAGTGAATTTGCTAACATTATTTCACCTTCAACCTTAGAGAAGATTGTTTATTCAGAGAGGCGTCTGAACGTCTTGACTTGTAGGAGGTTTGCATGTGGAGATACAGCAGTGGACAAAAGTGATGGAAAATTGACATTTTTACCCTTTATTCAAATATTATTACAAATTTGAACGTCTTGACTTGTAGGAGGTTTGGATGTGGAGATACAGCAGTGGACAAAAGTGATGGAAAATTGACAGTTTTACTCTTT